GTACAAATACTGTAGGCTGTTTAGATTAGTAATTTTTTTTAAATATATTTTAATTTGGATGTAGCCATTTTATTTACACACAAAGCATTCTGGGCAAATGATGACATGGATAGGTCCTCAGTGCAAGGCTGCTAGCGAGCTATATCCACCCTGAAGGTTAATCTTAGACAATATCTGATGATCGACTCTTTTAAACGAAACCAGAGAGCGTTGACAGAGAGGAGAAGGTAGAAATGACTCAGCCTGTAAATGAAAATATAGATGGAGGACAACAGAGCTGCTTCATGGAAGAAGAACCTCAGCTTAGCCTGTTAACTTTAGCGGTGACAGTATATTGCTTTATTTTAGCTCAGTGCTAGCGTGACAAACTAGCAAGCTAAACTGAGGTCCTCCATCCACATTGCTAACAGGTCTATTCTGACAAAGTGCAGCTGTGATCTGGTTCTGAATGACAGCTTTATAGCTGACAGCCGCTCCCTCCTCGTCCCGGTACTGCGTACCGGCGCAGAATCTTTTCGTGGTACGCAGTACCGGACCGTACCAGCTTGCACCCCTGATTATAGCGTATAGAAATAGGTCAGCTTCATATAAATAAATAAGTACCCATCGTAAATCTATATTTTATTAATCAGAATGTGTGTAATATAAAAATAGTTTACAGATTATAATTTAGCACACCTTTTATAATGCTGTGGTTTCTGTTTTTTGTGTATTTTTGGCAGACTTCAAAGGTGTTTTCTCTGTGCTTCTTTCTCTTCTCTACTACTATCTCCTTTTTTCCCCCTTCAAACCCTTTCTCCCTTTCTTTTCTGTCTCCATGTCCATTACATTAAAACATTCCCATGGTGATTCCTAATAAAGTTTAAATATATATCAAGTGAAGCATCATGGTGAAAGCTGTAATGCTCCACTTGTGAAACTGTTGGGCCTCACCTTGGCACTCAGACAACATTTCTAAGTTCTGCGCTACTGGACAGGACACCTTATGAAAAAAAATAATAATAAAGTCTAATTATGCTAGAGAGCTTAGCCTAGGATCTTCAGGTTCTTCCACATTTCTTTTATATGTTGTCTTAATGGAAGGCAGATAATCCGGATCATGTTTGTTTTTACTGACACATCCTCAATCATGCAAATACAACAAGTATTTGTTTTTTGTTTCAGTTCTGATCAGCGTGTATCAAGGGTAATATGAGCTGGTCATGCAGAGCGGAGATTGTTAACTCAGAGATCACACAGGAGCGAAGTAAATTTTGTGCTCGCAGGCAAAAACTTTATTACAAGTGAGGAAGACTAAAAAACTGACTCCAGTTATACAATCACATTCTTTGACTAAGTTCTAATCAAAGACAAAAAAAGAAGTAAAAACCACAAGGATCCACAAGAAAAAGCTTTAAAGTAAAAATAAAACAAAAGAAAAAAAAAGGAACTTTAACTAAGATAAGTTTAGATGCTCTAAACTCTCCCGTCGCCCAACAGGAGAGCCAAACAGCGGTGAGCTGTTGTACTCATCTAAAAACCTCTTGTTCTGTTGTGCAAATGCTTTTTATAAACCCCTGGAATAATTATGCTGTGTCTGTCCGAAACCGGTACCGATACCAGAGCAACTGCTGCCGCGACTGCAGCTAGACCCTCTTCCCGCTTTCGGTGTATTCTCAGTTATTCCCGTAACGTGAGGAGAATTGCATTTCTTTCTCCACGTCTCCATACAGCATGTAAAATCATCAGAACTAGTTGATATGACAGAATAATTACAAGCAACACGTTCCTGATAACTTCTCTCCATTTTCCTGAGGTGCGACTTTTACTTCCTGTTTACTACACACATGCGTCTGACGTAATTGATTCGCTTCAAGCCAGTTGATGGAAACACGTCTGATTCGCTTTTTCCCCTTTTCGCGAAATTTGAAAAATTTGCTCAAAATTCGAATTAAAATTGGACAGAACCACAGCTAGAGTGGGACTTTTCTGTAACACCCCACGTGGAGGTGAGAAGCGTCCCGCAGCTGTGAAAGTGCGTATGCTCAAACAGCCGGTGCACAGCTAAAGTTTCTTCTAAGCCACATGTGTGAAGCTAGGGCTGCCACAAACGATTATTTTTATAATCGATTAATCACTGATTATTTATTCGATTAGTCAACTAATTGGATCATACGTTAATTGAATATAAAACATACAGCTTATCACGTCAGAATACTAAAAATAATTGCTGTGGAAGGTAAGTTCTGCTCTGCAGATATTACACAGGTTTCTCTTTCATTTTCTTAAAATGATCCCACACTTTGAGCTCCGTTGTCAGGTAGCCATGATACCAGAGCCTGTCTGTATAATGTCTTGTGACGTCCACGGCCTACCCCAGTTACCACTACTGNACCAGAGCCTGTCTGTATAATGTCTTGTGACGTCCACGGCCTACCCCAGTTACCACTACTGTGCATGTGTGTCAAGGACAGAAAGGCAGACGTGGCAGTGGAAGGTGTCAAAGCAGTTTGGAGGGAAAAACAAAATAAAGAACAAAAAAAAGAAAACGATTAATAGATTAAACGATTAGTCGTCGATTAATCGATTAATCATGGCAGCCCTATGTGAAACACAAGGCCCGCGGGTGACTCCCGTGTGGCCCGCCGGGGCGTGCCCCCCCCTCCAATTTTTTTTTTTTTACTTAGCATGAAATTTGTTTCTCTTGTCAATGGTAAACTTTAAATTTATGATTAAATGCAATAAAATAAATTTAATAAAAATAAATGAAATAAAAATAAATTTCATAAATTCCTGTCCCTGAGCTGTTGGCTTTAAGTAACTGAGCAATTTAGTTGGATAGCACAGTACTAATGTCTGAAAATAAGCTGCTTAAATTCAACATCAACCATAAACTAAATAATAATTTTGTATTTATTTCAGATTTAGTCAGTCGTACACTTAGTTGTTATCAGTGTTTAAAAGAGGACGAGTTAAAACACTGTTTAATCAAAGTTAAACATGAAACATCAAAGTTTATTACAAGTGGCCCTTTGAGGGCCACCATAATGCTCATGTGGCCCTCGGTGAAAATGAGTTTGACACCCCTGTTCTAAGCTAACAACAATTACAATAAATTACAGTCAGCAGAGTGTTTTTCTCTTGCTCAACCTTTGTAGCTTTTAGGAAAAAATAAAAAACTATCCTAGGTCAAGGCAAACTTTAATTTATTCCCCAGGTTCGGACATAACTGTGGTCATGAAGCCGCTGCATGATCAGAGCATAAGTGAACCCGCCTCAGGGTTGCCTGATTTTTTTTTTTTTTTTGCCAGTCTTTTTCCGTGCATATTTTCACCAAACACAACACAACACACATCTTATCTTATCTTTAACTCAAAATATGATGATTTTAAAGGATGAATAAAACACTTTACAATGTCCCATTTGGCAACCCTGCTTGGTACATTAGATTATTAATGAATTATTGTTTGTTGCCAATCACTGAAAGTAAAGGACAGTCTGTAAAATCTTTTTAACTTTTCATCATAGGAAGTACATCACTGTTCAGACTGTGGGTTGAATAAATCATGAAGTGATTATTTATTCTGTATTAATTTAGTTCTTTTGTGTTTTGAACAGGGGTGAAGTTGTTCTCCTACACCAGCAGTGGTCTCAGCGTGGTCCTCATGCCACAGATCCTCCTGAAAAGCGGACTGGGATTGAATAGTTTGGCCCTGCAGGTGGTGTTCTGTGGAATGATCGGCTTCTTCACCTTTGTGACTCCGGTTCTCCTCCACCTCCTGAGCAGGAGGTACGTGATCCGCCTCTACCACAACCCAGGCACCGACACCTACACCGCCATCACCTACAACGTCTTCCTGATGGAGAAGAAGTGCGTCTTCCACCAGAAGCAGGTCAGGGTCCCTGCTCTCAGCCAGTTATTCACCACCTTCTATGCAGGTCAGGTGGGGCTGATGGTAAACCCAGACCTGTTCCCCATCCCTCAAGATTACCTCCACCTGATGGGCTACGATAAACCCTTCAGCTCAGCAGCCATGGACAGATCTGACAAGTGACTGCAAACAGACTGAATGTCCTCAGTTTAGCTGTTTAGCCCTCACACGCACACACACACACACACACACACACACACACACACACACACACACNCACACACACACACACACACACACACACACACACACACACACACACACACACACACACAGATGTAACAGATCTGATCCAGTCTGGTAAGCACGATGATTTTAAATGAAATAAACTGTTGTAACCTCATTTTCTAAATCACAAACTGCAGCTCGACTTCATTAAACACAGATCTTCAGAGGTTTTCTGGCATAAATCCCTTCTTGTTGCTGCTGGTTTGTTTCATGTTTATACTGTAAAATAACTTACTTTACTCACCCCCAAATTCTGAAAACATTAAAAAAACAGACCTCCTGTTAGCCGAGGATCTATTTTCTTTGATTCTACTCGGTCCTGTTGCTCAACATGGACAGAGATGCACATTTTCTGTCAATAAAACTGAGCTCCTCGAAGCATAGCTGCCACTTTATGATTTGTTCAAGAAAAAAAATGTTGCTGGAGAGACTTAGGGTTGTTTCACATTATATATTATAATTTTATTTTCGATACGCATTAAAAAAACAAGAGAAGCACTGTTAGTAATCCGCCTGTGTCATTACTAAGGCTGCCATGATTAGTCGACTAGTGGTCGACTAATCGACAATTAAAATAGTCGATGACTAATTTAATAATCGATTATTCGTTTTCTGTGTTTTTTACTTTGTTTTTTTCTCCAAACTGCTTTGACACCTTCCACTGCCACATCTGCCTTTCTGTCCTTGACACACATGTACAGTAGTGTAACTGGGGCAGGCCGTGGACGTCACAAGACATTATACAGACAGGCTCTGGTATCATGGCTACCTGACAACAGAGCTCAAAGTGTGGGATCATTTTAAGAAAATGAAACAGAAACCTGTGTAATATCTGCAGAGCAGAACTTGTCTTCCACAGCAATTATTTTTAGTTAGCATATAGCTAAAATCTGATGATGGTTATATAATAGCAGCTGCATTCTGGCTCGATAAGCTCTACGTTTTAAATTCAATTAACGTATGATCTGATTAGTCGACTAATCGAAAAAAATAATCGCGATTGAGCAACTATAAAAATAATTGTTTGTGGCAGCCCTATTCATTACCAGGTGCCAGTGTAAAAAACATGAATAGGAGTTGTCTACAAATGCCATGTTTAATTCTTCAAATTCACCCATTTTATCAAGACTTACTACCATCACTGCTTTGGTCTGGATTCCACAGCTCCAGGTGTTAAGTATCAAATATTTTAACAACTCAATAAAACATCAAATGAATATTAAATACTTTTAGCAGTAAAAAGTAAAAACATTTCAGTAAAAAAAAAAGCTAAATATTTAATACTTCCAGTATTTTTATAAAAACATTCCCTTCATGTTTGGTTTATTTGACCATAAAGGAACTGACTGTTGTATAAAATAAAGATTAAACACATGAATTTAACAATTACTTCCTTATAAAATAATTATTACAGCATACTGTTTGATGTAACCGTGGAAACTGAAAGTGAGTGAATTCCCCTGATCTTAAAGAGTTCAATGGGTTAAATGGGCAAAACAAAACAGAGGTGCTCCAGGCCATTAAAGGGATTCAAACGCCAATTCATACGGGACCAGATCTCCTGTATGTAAATCTGCATCAATAACGTCATATTTTGTTTGGTGGTTGAAAATGTTTACGTTTTCACCATTATTTTGATATTCGGATGATTACTGAGAGTGAAGGCATGGCACAACTGCTTCAAGATGGCGTCTAGTTTAGCACATCTGAAACAAGGTGGCAGTTAATGTATAGAATATAACTCACTGATACAGACGACATCATTGGTCCTATATCTGCACTGCCGGTCTGGTACCAAGTCTTGGTGGTCGAGTCCCTCTATCAGCCTGTTTTGTTTGCTTGCAGGTATTTTCTGTGTTTTGCTGCACATTTTTTTAACCTGTTGGCCACCGTAGGTTTGCCCCTAAGGTTGGAGGTCTGCAGAAGACCCTATCACACCTGCTGCTGCTAAATAAGACCATCTAGACCAGTGGTTCCCAAACTTTTCAGTTTTGACCCACAAAATACCAGCAGCAGAGACCTGAGACCCCAGCTTTTGTTGGTTGATGAACATTGATTTCACGTCAAATAAACAATAGCATAGTAACAATATTTACTATGCTATTTTTGTCCATTTTAAGTACACTAACTTTATTTTTTTGTAACAAAAAAAAAATCAAAAAAGTATTGACAGTTGTAATTTTTTGTGTAATTTATTCAGAAAATCTTTTCAGGACCCCACCTTGATGTTTCGGGACCCCACTGTGGGAACCACTGATCTAGACCAGTGGTTCCCAAACTTTTTATCTTCTGACCCACAATATATCCATGGCAAAAACTTGTGACCCCAAATATTACTTATCTGAGTACATGAACTTCATTAATAACCCTAAAAACACAGGCTTTTTGACAATCTAAACAGCTTATACACAAATATAAATACTTATTTTGTGTTTTTGTAATAATTATAGGGAAAATATTACATCAGCAATTGTTTTATTACTCTTTAAATTGATTTCTGGAGATTATCCAAGGTGCTTCATGACCCATTATTGGGTCCCAAGCCTAACTTTGGGAACCAAAGTGCAGTGGTTCCCAAACATTTCAGCTTTTGACCCACAAAATAACAGTAGCAGAGACCTGTGCCCACTGCTATTTTTGGATGATAAACATTTGTATCAGGTCAACAAAACATGGGCACAGTAACGATATTTTTATACTACATTTATCCATTTTAAATATACTAACCTCACTCCTTTGTACCAACTAAGGCAAAAATGTAATTAATTCAGAAAATCTTTTCAGGACCCCATCTTGATTTTTCGGGACCCCACTTTGGGTCCCGACCCCAACTTTGGGAACCACTGATCTAGACCATGGTCTTATTTAGCAGCTGTTCCCTACTGGGCCTCATCTCCACACCTGAAGACAGTGGTGGGCTTTCCCTTTCAGTCACCCAGGGTCTACAGGTGGAATACCTGAATGTGTTTCACAATCACATTATATGCTGAGGTGGGTACAGTACCCAAAGGTTGTACTCAATAGTAGCACTATTTCATCATATTGTTACTCAAGTAAAAGTAAAAAGTAGCCATTCAAGAAATGACTCAAGAGTAAAGTATTTGGTAAAAAGGCAACTCAAGTACTGAGTAATTTTAAAGATCAAAATGAAAATAATTCATATAAATAACATAATTACAAAATAACAAATTCGGGCGAAATAAACATTTTTCCTAATCAGTTTCTTTCAATGCAAATTTTATGAGAAAACTGCAGGTGTGTCATAAAATTCCTCAAGTAAAAGTAAAAATACAGTGTAGTAAAAATGCTTATAAATTACTTTTTCCCCAAAAAAGGTTACTCAAGTAAATTAACTAGTTACTACCCAACTCTGATTATATGTATAATAAATCCAAGAAACCAGCCTTGGTCTTGGTGATCTTAATGGTCTGATTAGCTGTTAGCTCGTCTCCCCTGAGAATGAATGAATCCTTTAGTTACCCTGCGGGAAGTTCATTTCTGTTAGCAGCTGACATCAAATAAATTTGATCAAAGCAATGATCATTAATAAGTCTCCAGAGCATCACAAGAAGTCCTGTTTGAGTTTCGGAGCAGGTGAATGAGATGATGAGGTACTTCGTGATTTCAACCAAAACAAGTTGAAAATGAAACTTTTGTTTGTAGTCTTCAGTAAAATGGGTAAAACAAGTTCGTTTTCTTTGCAGCAGTGATGTTTCCTTCAGTTTGTGCTTCGTTTGTGTTGATGTATTAACGGGCGTGTCTGACGGGCTGAATGATGAGAGGAGCAGAGTTAGTACCTCCATGATGGAGACCTGGACTGAAGAACGGACAGAGTTTCTCCTCGAAGAAGCAGCTGGTGAACGAGTAGAGATGAACGGCTTTGTCCACATCAAAGAAAGAGACGAGCCTCTCTTCATAACTCACAAACACCCCCACCCTCTCCACGCTGGAGGTCAGACTGAGGCTGACAACTGGACTGAGGTAGGTTAGGTACTCGTTTCCATTCCTTAGACCTAAAGCCCAGTAACCGGTCGCTGGACTCAGTGGGAGTGTTCCCTTCCTGTCCACAGACGCTTTGACCACTCCCACAATCCAGTTGGTTTTTCCCATGACCTGCACCTCGTAGTAAAACCTTCCAGAGGTGAAGGTCTGCTGGGCTAACACGTTGATGTAGAGAGAAAACCTCTCCCTGTTGTTTGGAAGAACCCCCATCCGCTCCCCGCACTGGACCTGCTTCCTGTCAGCCGACAGGATCAGCCAGGGGTTGGCCGTGAGAGGATCCAGGGCCAAGTCCACTGCGTAGTCCTGGGCCCGTCTCAGCCTGGCCCCGTTAAGCAGCTGCTCCTTCTCCTTCCTGAGCACCTCCTGCAGCTCAGACACTGCTTTCTCCACGATCCCTTCGTACGACGGGGGGCGGACGTCCACCTGTGTCCTCGTGTCCACGGGCCAGTCCCTGCTGGGGAAGTTCTGGATCAGATGAAGGTGGTCCTGAGTGGAGCAGAGCTTCTGGAGCTCAGCAGCTCTCATCGTCAGAGCAGAGATTTCTGCGTCCAGTTGTCTGATGTGGCTGTTGGCCTCATCCTCTGCCTTCTTCTGTCTCTCCTCCAGGACCTCAATCAGAGCGTTCAGACTTTTCTCTGCTGTCTGCGTGACCGCGGTGAAGACCTGGATGGCGTTGGCGACCTCCCTCTCCGTGTCTTCTTTACTGTACCTCTTCAGGAGTTTCATCTGCTGGCTCTTCTGCACCTTCTCCATGATCCTGGCCCGGACCTCTGCCTCCATCCGCCGCAGCTCGGGCCTCTTAGCTTCGCATTCGTCGCGCAGGGAAACGACGTCGTGTCCCGCCGCCCCGTGTTCCGTCACCATGCAGAGCGAGCACACGCAGGTCCGGTCCGACCTGCAGAACAGCTCCAGGACTCTGTTGTGCCTCCTGCACATCCTGCCCTCCATGTTGTCCACAGGATCCGTCAGCGTGTGCGTCTTCAGGCGGTCACACGTCCGATGAGGGTCCAGGTGGATGCTGCAGTAAGAGGCCAAACAGGTCAGGCAGGACTTGACGGCTTTCAGTTTGGTTCCTCTGCAGACGTCACAGGGGACTTCTCCGGGCTGAGCCGCTCTGCAGCCTTTCCTTCCAGCTGCCTGCCTGAACTCCCCCGCCATCTCAGAAATGAAGGTGTTGACGGTCAGCGGGGGGCGGCTCTCGAACTGCTTCTTGCACATGGGGCACTGGTAGCGGGGGCTGCTGACGTTCCAGTTCTGTGTTATGCAGGTCTTGCAGAAGTTGTGACCACATGGGATGGTGACTGGCTCGGTGAAAACATCCAGACAGATGCAGCAGAGAAACTGATCCTCGGACAGAACGCAGCTGGTGGCAGCCATGTTGGAGCGCTAAGAAGGAAATAGAAACAAACACGCTCTGTGATCTGTTCTGTTCACACTGCAGGCAAAAACAAACCTAAACCTGAAAGTCTGAACCTGATCAGATTGTTTTTTTTCTAATCTGACCCAGGTTTGTCTGTCGAGCAGCCTCAGTCTGATTTGACCTTTATGTCAGTGAGGTAAACAGATCGATCCTAATATTGATTCTATTAACAAGGTTGAGTCATTCTGCAGCAGATCAGATGTAAACACTGAACAAAACAAGCACATATAATTTAGTCTGCTCTGATTGCGCAATAACATCTGAAGAAACAAACACAGAAGAGAACACTTGTCAAAATGTTAATTCAAGGTGTCGTGAACAGAAAAGCCATCTAGATTTAAACATTTTTTCAAAAAAAAAATCAATGATTAATTTGGCGAAATGTGACTAATCATAATTACATTCCTAGATCTAAATTTTGTCAAATGCTTTCAAGATATCTGCAATTCAATTGCACTAATTGAATTGATATATTTGATATCTACAAATACATTTATGATATGAACAATGTGTAATTTAAGAAATCTAAAACTGAATTATGACTTGTAACAACCCTTTTTTAAATATATTTTGATTTGGAGCTTCCATATAACTCAATGGGAAATCTGACGTCATCGAAAATTACAGGTGTCCTAAGTCATAAACCAGTTTGAGGTGTGGTGAAGCCGATTTTATGGTAAAAAGGCCTGCCATACTTTGTGCAGATTCTGGAGTTAACTAATTTATTGGCTGACATCACTAAATAATGCTACCTTTGATAAACTGAAAGTAGAAACTCAAATATCGATCTTATTGCGCTTTTATCGATGCGATCCGAAAAATAACGATGCTGTTTTCATCCAGAACGGAACAAATCAACAAGTTGTGGGGGTTTGGGTTGTAAACAAAAAAAAAAAAAAAAACTTGCTTTTATTCTGTGTCTGAGTCCGAACTGCATGACTTTGGCTGGCAGCGGTCTACATTACGACACAAACTTTAAATGATAAGAGACGGTGTTCCGGTTCCGACTGAGGTCCCTTTGAAACTCCGACAGGTTTCTGACCTGCCGCATGAAAATGAGCTGATTTAAAACATCTTCTCTGTCGCGTTCAGACTGTCATCAAATATAAATAAAAGTTATTACAGCGCAGTAAAGCTGACTTTACCTCCTGATTGATGATCCTGATGAATTTAATCGTCAGACTCTGACAGGGCTGCTGCTGAAAGAAGGAAGTGAAACTAAACTTTGATGAGGCGGAGCATCAAGACTATCAGAGGCTATAAACACCCACTAATACTGTCATAAACCTTTACATGGATAGATAGATCATACAAGTTCAAAGACATTGTATGATCACTGTAAAATAAGCCAAAAATAAAAACCTAAAAAGGTCAAAACTTTACAAGTTAATAATAAAAAATATCAGTGAGACTGTTATTCTGCTAATTTTGGGGTTTTGTGCTTCTTTTAGTTGTTTTTTGTGGTTTTATTTCAGCTCATTTGAGTTTTTATCCATCTAAATTTACCTTATTGTGATCATTTTAACTTCTTACTGCTTAATTCAACTCTTTTTGTTTCTTTGTGCTAATTTCAGCTACTTTTAAGACATTTTCAGCTTTTTGGAGCTATTTAAAAACAAATTGAAAGTACTTCTCAGTTTTATTTTATTTTATTTTATTTTTGCCAGATCAGCTTTGCAGGTCGGAGCTTTCTTGTGGACTATTTGCAGGCCGCGGCATCGACTGAACGTGTCTTCCTCCAAGGAAAGCCTCGACTGTTTTTGCCCTATGGCACCTGAGGTCTGGAAGGTTGATGCAACAGCAGATCTTAAATGTGTTGTGGTGCTAAGCCGTTAAGTGATTTATAAAATAATAACAGCATTTTAAAGTCTATTCTCTGAGTTACAGGGAGCCAATGTAAGGACTTTTGGAACTGGGGGGGTGGCGGGTGTGATGAGCTCTATCTTCCTGGTTTTAGTCAAAACATGAACGGATTTTAGGTTACCTTTTTTTTTCATTTAAAGCAAAATAAATATTTATATTTTAACTTCCTGCCTCTTTACACAGTGACAATTGGATATGGGCAGCAGCATCTGGCAGTTTCATTGCAACTAACTAAGCCAGACATCTTCCCTTCAACTAAAACATTAACAGCTTTTTTTATCCTGACCTTAAAGGGATCCACGATTAGTTGTAACATTAAACTTTATTTTATAAACATTTATTTTAACTGTAAAACAAAGACTGTAAAAATACTGTAGGTTGTTTAGTTTTGTAATTTTTTTAAAATGTATTTTAACACGGACTGAGCCATTTTATTTACATGCAAAGCATTCTGGGTAAATGATGACATCAATAGGTCCTCGGTGTGAGGCTGCTAGCGAGCTATATCCACCCTGAAGGTTAATCTTGTACAATATCTGATGATCGACTCTTTTAAATGAAACCAGAGAGCGTTGACAGAGAGGAGAAGGTAGAAATGAYTCAGYCTGKAACTGAAAATATGGATGGAGGACAACAGAGCTGCTTCATGGAAGAAGAACCTCAGCTTAGTCTGTTGGTCTTTGCGCTAGCACCAACGCTATATTGTCTTATATGTATTAGCTCAGCGCTAGCGCAACAAACAAGCTAAACTGAGGTCCTCCATCCATATTTTCAGTTGCAGACTGAGTCCTTTCTGTGTTCCCCTCTCTGTCATGTGGATGGAGGACCTCAGTGACCAGAGGAGAATGTGTAGAGCTGAGCTAATACATATATATGATGATAGTGTCGGGGCTAACGCTAAAGCTAACAGGCTAAGCTGTGGTTCTTCTTCCATGAAGCAGCTCTGTTGTCCTCCATCCTTATTTTCAGTTCCAGGCTGAGTCATTTCTACCTTCTCCTCTCTGTCAACGCTCTCTGGTTTCATTTAAAAGAGTCGATCATCAGATATTGTCCAAGATTAACCTTCAGGGTGGATATAGCTCGCTAGCAGCCTCGCACCGATGACCTAGTTGATCAGTCATCATTTACCCAGAATGCTTTGCATGTAAATAAAATGGGTCCATTTCTGTAATATATTTCTAAAAATTTAGTTTAAAAATTATAAAAACTGAACATCCTACAGTATTTTTACAGTCTTTATTTTACAGTTAAAGTATATGTTTATCATATAAAGTATAATGTTACAACTAATCTGTGATCCCTTTAAACATTGAACCAAAAATACCTTTAATCAACACCATACCTCCCCGAGCCCAGGCTCTGACAACGCTAAATCGAGGAAATGAGGCACACACACACACACACAACACAACACAAAATGTGCTCGTTTGACATGGTTGAGTACACAGCAGAGGAGCATGGAGCATGAATTTCCAACATTGACAAAAAATAGCTCTCTCTCACACACAACAGCAGTGGAGAAGGAAAAACAACTTTTGGGTGATTCTTTTTTGTGGCAACATTTTGGCTTCAGGACTTTTGAAAAAAAAAAAGATTAATATTTTAAGTTTTAAATATTTTGTAACATCACTGACATGTTTAACAAGAAATGAATAATGGTCAAGCTCACACTGTTAAAAGTTTCACCCTCTTTTAGTTATCCCCACTTACTTCTCTTTAAATCAAAGAGCTCTGACAAGTTTTGGATTTTTAACTCAACTTTATGAGTCTTTAAATATACAACTTATAGTTATCCATTGTTTTAACTGTTTGAGAAATTTGTCGCATTTGCAAGTGTTGACTGAACTTGAGTTTAAGTCACCAGTTGAAAAAAAGGAGAGGGGAAAAGTTGGGAAAGTAAAACTCAGTCATTCATTGTGTTGACTATTAAGGAATTTGTATGATTTGATTGAACTTGGGTTTGAAAGTCAGACGGAGCAGTATTTACCCAGCATTCCTTGCTGAGAAATCATACAGAAATGATGTGTTTGCCTGTTTATGACCATTAAAGACGTTCATGAGAGTAAAAATTAGTTGTTCTGGTTAGTTTTCTTGTTCAGTTTTATCAAGTTGTTCAACTTTCAGTTAATTTTTTTGGCCAAAGATCAACACCATGAGTGAGAGATGGTGTGTGAAGGGTGGCTCCATTATACTTTTCTTCTAACTCCTGAGTGTGAAGAGTTTGATATTAACTCTGAGTATTAAATTTACACTCTCAAATATGTGGTGAACTGACACCTTGTGGTATGTGTTAACCTTTTTAACACCATTTATCAGCAAGTTGAAACAAATTTGGAATTTAAATTGACTTAATTAATTAATTTGAAAAGTCACATCATTTTAACTCAAAATCATGAGTTACATTAAATGTGTGCTTGTTCAACTAGCTAAGGAATGTTTATCATGCTGATGTTTAATTTTTAATTGTTTCAACTCAGTCTTAAGTTAAAACAATTAGTGATTAACAGTTAAATCAACTTTGACAGCTTAAAAATTATGTTGACACAACAAAAACAATGTAGTGCAATCAACTTTTTAAACTTTAACTTCTGAGTTGAAATAACGATATTCCTCAAGTTGAGTTAACATGTTTTTAAGGCAGCAGGTGGACTTTCATTTGCAAGTTTAACTGACTTGAAACTTCTTACAGTGCAGGACTGGATAAAGTAATAATTACAAGTAGTTTTTTGATCAATAATAACCTTTTTCATAAAAAGAACATGTCCCTTTTACTATATAATGTGTTTTATTCTTGAAATTATAACATGCCATGTAGTTACGAATCATTTATGTCAGTATTGTAAAAAAATTTTTTTCACATTATTACTGACAGCATAGTAAATATTGGTAATTTAAAAAACTTATACCCATGTGTGCATTAAGGAGCTGCTCGCGGATGAAAAAGAAAAACAATATCATATGGGGGGAGGGGGTATTTGTTTTTGCTACCTGGTGGGGGACAATTTTTCACCATTTCTCCGATCGGTACACACAGCCTGGGTGCTGCTGCGGGGAGGAAATTAGTTCCTGTTGAGCAACTGTGTTACTGGAAAAGTCCCACAGA